ACCTTCATCAAGCCTGCAAACGAGGGAACTGTCATTACGCAAGTGCGGTTCCTTGGAAATACACGCTGCGTACAAGTGTTTTTCAAGGGAGATTGCATACCGTCCCACGTTAAAGTTGGACATTTCCGACATCCGGTTCGATCATTCATCCGAAAGCCACTTCAATGTCATCAGTGCTTCAGGCTAGGACACGTCAAGGGCGTATGTCCCAACTCACAACTGTGTCCCTGTTGCACTGAACCTCATGTCGAAGACACCTGTCGGGCGACTACTCTGAAAGGCACCAACTGCAGCGGTCCTCATGCTGCCTCGTCGAAAGGCTGTCCTCGAATCCAAAAGGAGCACGCGGTTCTCAGACATATGGCCCGAGGCAACTTGACACACAGGGAGGCAGCCGAAGTAGTCCGACGTCGGCGTTGACGTCAGCATCTTCGAAAGTCTTCAAAGAAGGCACATTCCCGAAATGCTAGTTCCCACTCTTTAGCGGTTCCACGCAGTAGCGCCGCTAAAAGACTCATTACTTCTACGAAATAAGCGGAGAAGCCTTCTTCTCTGGAGGAGTAGCCCACGCTCCCGACCTGCTCTTCTGCCAAAGAACCTCAGCAGGTTGTAGCCACACCAGAGCCGTCTCCAGCCATGAAAAATTTGCCTAAAACAGATCGTCAAGTTATCTCGGTGCTGCGTTCCCTCATAGAAGCCATCGGAGTGATATTAGTCGACTTGAAGACAGCATCTGCTCGAAGCGCACTTAGAGTATTGGACGCCCTAAACCTGGTGCTTGAATCTCTCAACTAGGGAGATGACTACTCACACCTCACTATTTCGCAAAGAATTGAAGGCTGTATTCATGATCCACTGGAACGCCAGAGGCTTAAAATCACGCCTTTCAGATTTTCATCAGTGCGTGTTTACCAACGTGTTTCCACTCACCCTCAATCGTGAACCCAATTTGTCGAAACCAATTAGATTTTCGGGGTACGAAGCTATCATGTCTTCAACAAACGGTGCGTGTGCAGCAAAATCATCGTCTTTGTGTTGTCGTGAACTGAGGTATGTTGTGCAACCAATTGCGCCTCGCGATGACAATCAGTATGTCTGCATCACTGTGAAAAAGAACAAACTCATGTTTACTCTCATAGGCGTTTATATATTGCCATCGAATAATCTCGATTCCAGGCGATTAGCAGATATTTTGAAAGTGTGTCCTGCACCATCGGTCATCATAGGGGATTTCAATGCACGCCATCACGCATAGGGAAGTACGCGGACAAATACCAGAGGACGCAGGTTATCAGACATCGCCTACAACTACGGCCTTACTCTCCTGAACGACGGTAGCCCCACTTTTCTTCGAGGGGTGACAAACGGCAGCTGTCTCGACATTGCTTTTGTCTCCAACTCCCTCGTGAGATACGTCAAATGGTTTCCAGATGTTGAGACACGAGGAAGTGATCACATTTCAATCTACCTTATCATCAAAGGCTTGTCTAGTTATGGTCCATGGACGACCATTCAAGCATTACAATGGACCATTTTCAAATCTGACATGGAAGATGCTTGCAGCGATGGCCTACAATCTGGGTTAGAGGAAACAATTAAGAGCACAACGCAAAACGCCACTCGCACGGTGACAATATCTTCCACACGAAACGACTTTGATATAGAGTAGGAGCGACTCCGAGCACTGCGACGCCGGGCAGAACGTCGGTATCTGCGTACAAAATCAATTCACGATCTTAGGGCTGCCAGGAGGATGCAAAAGAAGATTCGGTGTCGCATGGATAGATTAACGGTAGAACGATGGACAACGTTTTTCCAGTCACTAGACCCTCGCAAGCCACTCTCACACATTTGAAAAACGGTGCAAGGTCTGTGTCACCCTACGGAACAGCATTCTCCGTTCAAAGCATTCGCGCTATTTCAAGTGAGGCAAGACATCGATGTCGCCGAAGATTTCTGTGCGCAGATCGCCAACCAAGCCACTCATCCAGGTTCTCCAGTGATAGGTGATGTCCCCCGTTTCTGTCACTACCAGATGGACCTCCCTCTTAAAATGGAGGAGCTCGAGGCGGCACTAGCTCTCTGCAGGCGTTCAACTTCTCCGGGTCCAGATGGCGTTTTGTACCGAGCCTTGTGCAACATAGGGGAAGGTGCAAGGAGAGAACTTTTGAACCTTTACAACATCTCGTGGCGGTATGGCAATGTTCCTGACGACTGGAAAGTAAGCCCCTTTAATCCATCTTGAAGCAGGGCAAATCAGCACTCAAACTCGCCTCATACTGCCCAATAGCACTGGCAAGCTGCGTAGGGAACATAATAGAACGAATAATACTAGGCTGCCTGGAGTGGTATCTTGAATACTACAAGATTTATCCCAATTCCATGGCTGGTTTTAAACGAGACCGCTCTTCCATTGACAATGTCGTTGATCTAGTTTCATACGTTCACCACAAAAGATCCCGTAAGCGACTATGTACATATTTGTTTCTACATGTGAAATGCGCGTATGATAATGTACTACATGAAGCCATCTTGGGTGCTCTCGTGGTGGTTGGCCTAGGGGGTCGAGTCTTTCGGTGGATTTCGAGTTAGCTGGCTGCAAGATCATTCTTTGTGTTAACAGAAGATGGCCCAACTACGCGACCCTATATTGCCAGGGGTGTTCCTCAAGGCGGATTTGTTAGCCCGACGCTATTCAGTCTTGCACTAATTGGCCTTGCTGAATGCTTGCCAAGTACTATTAAATATTAATATACGCAGACGACATCTGTGTCGGGACTTCGGCAGTCACACGTTCTCAGATACGTTCCGGGCTTCAAAGAGCAGCAACTATGATGGCCAACTACATGTTAAAACAAGGTCTCGGCAGATCAGCAGAAAAATGCGCGCTGGTGGCCTTCACTCGCAAAGCGATGACCCCTTTTGTCATCTCAATCCGTGAGCGACCTATTTCTTACGACAGAACCCACCCATTTCTGGGCATCATTATTGATGGCGGCCTCTGTAGGAGTCCGCATGTGGCCTATATGAAGAAGCGCCTGACTGCCATTTCCCAATCGTTCAAGTTCCTGGCAGGAAAGACGTGAGGGGTGTCAGTGGACGCAATGATGGAACTCTACAGAACCCTGTTTTTCGGTTTCATGAGATATAGCTTGCCCGTGCTTAGCAATACCTGCAAGACCAATGTTCGTGTTCTACAGGCAGTATAAGCCCAAGAACTGAGTGTGTGCCTTGGTTTGCGCAGATTTACGTCAACAGGGGCAACAATTGCAATTACTGGTGACTATCAGATACAAACTCACTATGTTGTTGAAGTCCTGAGAACGCACATCAGACACTTCACTCGTGCTCTCTATCATCACCTTGCACTGTTGCCTTCAGAGAGGCGCCAAGCATTGTTCGCTAAAATGATTGTGAAGTACAACAAGAAACTTCCCTCGGGCTTCACTCCTGCATCTAAACCATCGATACCTCCTTGGTGTCTTATTCGACCCACAGTGCATTTTAGAGTTCCAGGGATCCGAAGGAAATTTGAGCTTTCATCGCCCGTGCTGAAACAACTTCTTTTGCATGAGAAATATTCAGACAGTGTACATATATATACCGATGGCTCCACGAACTGCCAGTGTTCATCAGGTGCAGTAGTTGTCCCAGCAAGAGGTGTTACCATCACCTTCAAGACTGACCACTCCATGGCATCTACAGCAGCTGAACCAGCTGCTTTGCGCGCTGCACTTTATGTGCTCAATCGGGAACCACCGCAACAATGGTTGATTTTCAGTGACTCAAGGGCTTCCCGACAATATTTGCTCTCAGCACTTCGTCGTGCGCCGTACGAACAGCTTTTTTTCGAAATTCGACGCCTTCTCCACACTTAATACGAGTAAGAGCATCATGTGACGTTTCAGTGGCTGCCAAGTCAATGCGGCGTCATAGCGAACGAACATGCCGATACTGCCGCGCGGGCAGCTCTTGAAGGAACCCGAGAAGAAGCCATACCACCTTTGCGAACCGATGCAGCCAGTATTCTTTGACGGCTTGCGCGTGAAATCACGTGTTTACTATGGTGCCCACCAAGCAACGAGATGAATCGTCAACACCACCTGCCCTCTTTGATGGCTCTCCGCATTACCACTGGGCTCGACCGAAGAGAAGCCACCCTTCTTCATCGCTTAGGGCTAGGAGTGGCATTTACAAAATATTGTTCATTTGTCATAGGAATGGCCGACAACGCTCTCTGCGATGCCTGTCATTGCGAAGAGACGCTACATCCCGTCCTGTGCGACTGTCCGTTTTATGACATACCGAGACATACCGTCCGTCCTTGCGCACATCGACAATAGCCAAATGTCTGTGGACGCTATTCTGTCAAGTGCCCAAGAGAAGACATAGCAACCGAAGGCGACAAAAGCTCTGCTGAAATTCCTACGTGACATAAACTTGAACAAGCGGCTGTAACAGCAATGTCACGCCCCGCGAAAGACTAGACTGGACTATGACTAGGTAGGAGGTTAGCAAACCGGCTGCCTATAGGCTGGTTAATTTTCCTGCCGTTATTTCTCCCCTATTTTCCATCCTTCCTTAGATGAGAGGTCAGTGTGGTACAAGTTTCATGTTGCGAAAACTCAGTCCACTTAATAAAGCCGCACGACGATGTATGAAATGTCATCAACACATGATGACTACCAAAAATGTGTGGCCTTGTGCCAATTCAAGAAAAGCAACAATGAACACGACATTGTTTGACAGAGTTAGAACTATTGAGTTCATCGGTTCAATAAATGAGCACAAGGAAGATTTCACGACATTGCGTAGGCATATTGAGGTATATCACATATTTCTACGCACGTTTCCGTCAAGAACAATTCTTAATGCATATATGAAGATAAGAGAGGTATGCAGATTATTCTGCAAGCTATTCAGCGATCAGTGATCCTGTGGCTAGAGGTTATCTACCTTTTACGTAAAACGCCGGTCAGCTCATTGCATCAAGCATAAAAGGTGTACTGCTGTCATAGCTCCCACACTGTTGTGTTCGATAAAATCATCGAAGGCCTCATCGTCCTATACAATTGGTAAGTGCACTCCGACACAGCGCACGCGAAATTTCAGTGCAGCTTTCAAGCAACGTTTCTTGTTAAACTCAAGTGTGAATCATATTATATTATAATACTCTCCGCAAGTAGATCGCTTGTTTTTTTAAGAAGTTCAAATGGTTTCTTGTTCCTGTGAGAAAAAATGTATTTTTTGTGGAACTGCCCTTGGAAATTACTTCCTATTTTGTGTTTTAGAAATAAGCAAACAAAACAGCAGGTAATAAGAAGATAACAAGCGGGACATATAATTGCATAGCTGCTATATGTTCAGGAGAGTTGTGTCATGTAAAAGTTCATCGACGTGGCAGTTATATTCCTGTTATTATATTTGTGCTCTTATTAAAAAGAAAGTTGCGAGAAAATAATTTGAAAAAAAAAGATCCACTTGAATGAAAAAAATTGACCTCGCGCCTTTATTTGCACATAAAGTGGGCTATCCCTGCGTCAATAACCACCATAGTATTTCTTTTTCTTCACAGTCACCATGCGGCAGATATTCACAGCTGTTTTTCTTGTGGCTTTCGCTATTCTAGCAGGTGAGCTAAACACTCTTTTGCATAAACCGATAGAGGTGGAGTTCATTGTCGTAGCTAACTAAATGAGCCAACTAACACAGGAATTTGCGCATGGGTGCAACGTAATTCCCACACTTCCCGCATTTCAAGTTGATCAATATATGTGGGGCGCGCATTCATAGGTCCAATTTGCGCAAGCATTTTGAAATTTTAGGAGCACCAGTCATGTTCACTGCGACCCGGTTTACTGGTTCTCAAAACTTTCGTTGCTTAAAACGTACTCTTCCGAACCACATTGTAATTGGTGGTCCGCACAATATTAAGTCCTTAGTTCGAGAGAAAAAACAAAAACCCCTGTTTTGCAATTCGCTTAATGAAGTCTTAAACATAGCTGTTGTTACCTTTGTGCTTACTGATTGTAATTTCTGCAGCACCTTACGTGTACTGTACTAATCACTAAGGGAGGTCTAGGTAGCTGATAAAACTTCCTATAGTAGCTACTCCTAATGATTCTCAGTCTGAGAATCATTAAGAATAATCTGAGAATCACACGAAATTCTTCGTGTTGTTGAGGGCATTAAGAAGAACGTAGAGAGTTCCACTTAGTGCTCAGAGGCAGAAAGATGTCGCCTGAGCCTGTGCTAATATGAAAAAAAAACTTGTCATGTTAAAATCATGCGTTTATAACCTTCGCTATAATAAGCTACAATATATCGTGTTGAAAATAGGGAAATGGAGAATGAGCTTGCGAGGAGGCGTGAGAGACCAAAGGAAGGAGTAGGGCGAAGTTAGGTAGATTGGAGCAAGCCATCGCGGAGTAAACGTCGTCTCCAAGTTGTGCGACCTCGCATCTTCGTTCCTCATAATGGGTAGTAAAACCCGAGAATTTGCCTTTTACAGAAAACACCAAACACAGCTAAAGATACGAGGCGATAGTTTCGGATATACTGCTTCCCGCCCATTTTATGCATTACTTTTATTATCGACCCTTGCCAGACGTATTTTGCGGAAGCTGTGACCACATTCATTTTAGTTCGTATTCGTCTTTCTGTGACCACGTACGTATTCATATTTTAAATATAAACATCACTAATTGAAGCCTTTTCCCGTGCTCGAGATAAATGGGCCAGTGGAATCGATGAGCGCCTAATCGTCTATGTATTGCGTTTTTCATTTCAGTCTAACGGTCTATTTGTGAATCCTACCAGAGAGCTGCTTCTTAAAATGTATCTGACATGTACACTAAACGCTCATTGCACCTTTTAATTTCAGCGAATGCTTATGCTATTCCTAAGGATGGGTCAAGCGTTGACACGGTGTTTGGCAGCGCTGCTCGTGAGGCCGTTTATCTGGGTGAAATTCTTCGTGATGTGGCAGATACCTTGGAAAAGGATGAACAGCTGAGTGCTCAGGTGGGCAATAAAACCAGAACGCATAATGTTCAACTATCTATTATATATGCAAGATGCTCCAAAGAATGTGTCCAAAGGACTAAATATTGCTTTGGTGGCGATGATTTGAGCAGTCGAGAAGAGTGATGTGTTCTATAATTGGGGGTTTATTGACCCATTACAAAACTACATAAAAAATCTTATGTGTCTTGTAAAAGACCACATTAAAGAAACCTTGAAGCCAGTGGACACTAGAGCTGAAGGACATAAAATAAGCAAATTGTTGAGGTTCTCAAGAATATTTGCGTACTTTTGCTTGAAAAGAAAACGCGCAACGCTGCCTCTTAAAATAACTTATCTAGAGCAGCTTGAAAAGAGTTTCGTGCCTCTGGAGTATCGTATGCTATCAACAAATTTATTGCGAATGTCGCCTATATCTGACAAGCGATCAATTTTGGTGGCACCTTCTCAAGGTCGCCACTAGATGCGATGGCCTCGCCGAGCGATAGTTGAATACTACGTCCTAGTCTACGACCACCATGGCACGTCATTTGTAGCCAAAGTGTGTGTCAAGTGCTCAAAAGTATAGGAGTGTAAAGAAAAAAAATATGTGCATCTCACGAGACCGTAAATTATGTAATAAGGCAGCCATAACTCTAGTCCCGCTAACTTCATTTGCTGGCCACCATGCTGCCAAAAATTCATAAGCCGAAGAACCCAGGCTGCTCCATAGTGTCTCCAAACGGAACAATGGAAGAATACCTGTCCTGTTACGTGGACTCGTTAATTCATCACATTCCCACCACATATCAGTCTTTTTCGAGGAACACGAACCAATTTTTGTTGTTAGTTACATATTTACCGCACATAATGTTTTCATTCAGGTAACGCTGGAAGTATCGTCCCTCTACACAAATATTCCTTAATCGGATGGAATCTGGGCAATCTTTGAAGCATATGACAAGTTTTCCGGTGATAAGCTAGTAGCCATCACTATCATTGCGGCACAACTTCAAATGATTCTGCAGCTGAACAATTTTGCATTCAATAAAGTGCACTACGTATAGGTCAGTGGCACCTTCATATGAACTAGGATTGGGCCAAACTATGCAGCATATTTAAGGGGAAGCTTGAAGAGTAATTCTTAAGCAGTCGCCAAATAGAATCGCTCTACAATGAAATAATCATTGAATATATTTTGTTTATTTGATGAGTCTCCCCTTCTTTCATTCATATCGTAGTTCAGTAATGTTCACCAGTTCATATCCTTCACGCACGTCTACTGAACGGAAACTCTAAATACTTCTTGAACATCTTTATTAGTCGAAGAAACAGAAACTTAATCATAAAGTTCTACCAAAAACCTTCTGACTGACCGAAATGTTTTGATTTCTATGGCAGTCACTTTGAAAGTTTTAAATCAATTATCCTTTACAGCGAAGTCATCTGTTTCAAACGCGTTTGCTCCGAGCAAGCAGATTCAGCACCATTTCTGACAAACAGCGTATTTGTTTTTCGAAAGCAGAAATACCCCCCACGTATCATTGATGAAGCACTGGCACGCGCAGACATACTTGACCAAAAAATACCTATCGACGCAAAACAAAAATTTATATATATATATATATATATATATATATATATATATATATATATATATATATATATATATATATATATATATATATATATATATATATATATATATATATACACACTTTCACGAAGGCTGGTGCCACGGCCGAACCAACACTTTCAAATTTTTCCGAATAAATTTCCAGTCCTTTTTCAACTATTGTCGTAACAGCATATACACTAAAACACATATAGTCAACAGAATCTGTTGTAAAATATTCATATTTAGCTATGAGCTCTGCTGCTTGCAAACCATGGGTTGAGAGTTTATTTCAATATTTTCCACACACTTTCTGTTAGTAGCAGGGGAAAGCAATGTATGTAAACGTATATGAGCCTCTACATTATCAACTACGTGAAAATTGTAATTTTGTCAAAAACGATCGTGCCAGTTTGTCTCACCCTAATGCCGTATTGATTTCTTCGTCTCAGAAAGAGTCATAACTGTGGTGCAAACATCAACAAAATAGGAGCACAATAAGAGAAGTTGCTAATTGTTGTGCCCTCCAAACTAAGTGGTAGTTTGTCCTTCGTCCCTCATGATTGTCCAACTTCCTGGTTTCAGTGCAATGAGAAGAAGAAGAACAGTGCCTTTAATTGCTGAGCTGGCCATACTACTGCTCCCGGCTATGATAAAATTGCGCCTATAACTGTGGCTGATAAAATTGCGCCTATAACTGTGGCTGGAAATAATTATGCAAAAGAATGCAGTGATTAGCGCATATATGGTGCCTAGAGAACACGTGAATAACCGTATCTATGACACATTGTGCTACTCCTTCACACATACGCTTGTGTATTAAGTGTAACCAGTAATTCATTTGCTGGGTTGGGTTTGCTTACGTAGCTACGTGTTTTGCTTTTTGCAGGGTGAAGAGTATTTTTTCCGTCACCTGTGGAACAGAACCAAAGCAGCTGTGAAAGATGCTGCTAAGAATATGAAAATATCCGCTAAGGAAGTATACAACGAAGCCAAGGACAACATTAAGAAAACCGCTAAAGAGGCCAAGCATAAGCTTGGGGAAAAAGCGGCTTTGATTGTGTCTGAAATGCTAACCAAAATCACGAGTGGCTATAGCAAGGATGACACGGAGGGTTACATGAGCTTTTTGAAAGTGTTCCTCAATCTCATTCGTCGTTCGGCAAGCCGATTGGTCAGGGTCGGAATGGGCTTGGAAAAATCGCAGCTCTCGTGAAAATAAAATTGTAACATAACAGTTTGCTATGTTAAAAATGTTATAACTTTTCTTTCGTAATCTGAGTAACCGGGATGCTCACGTACTATGTTACTTCAGCATCATCCGAATTCAGAACGGTGACAAGACAGCACTCGGGATCAGAACCTACGTAATGGGTTTGCGTTGTAAAACGTTGACATTTATATACTCCCACTAATATTTACCTAATCACGTACACTAATGCTCTACGCTCTTACCCAAAAAAACTGAAGTAGAGTATGTCATTCGGCCTTTAAGGATATAAATGGGTTGCACAGATTTTGAACACACTTTAGACTTACTGCGGGAGCAACTACAATGGTTCAACAGTTACCCCTACCAATTGCTCGTCTTGGTTAATTTGTATCCTTGTAGAATTCTTGAGTAGGACTAACAGTTGAACCGTATGGACGAATGGTAAAAAGATGGAAAACCTGTTCTTGTGGAGTGTATATTAGTTTATTCCAACTCCACCAGCCACGAAGAACAAAGTATATTGGGCATGCAACACACACACGTACGCACTACTATTTCAATGCAAAACACATCAAACCCTGACTGTCCGCGCTACAGAGATCTAACCATTCGATATATTTATCACAATAATTTCACTTCTTATATAGTACCGGGAGGAGACTTTTGCCCGGCGTAAAAAACAGTAAATATTGGTAGCGTAGTACGTGAAAAGTTACGTGTTCGAATTCGTATACACATAGCCCGAAGCGCACCAATGTTTTAAAAGGAATCCATGTAATCTTCAACGTCTCTCAAGTCAGAGAATACGAATTATCATTCGGCGTTCGATTGTGTCGGCCGAACCAGCGTTCGAAGTGCTGGTGAACGAGTCCACAAACGTACACAAAGCAGTGGCGCTTAGATACGAAAGCCGGCAAAGCAGTCAGGCACCCCGCCGTTGCCACCGTTCGGCTTCCCGAAGGCGTCGCTATGCTTACGGAGAGTTCGGCTAAACAACTACCGGCGATCGCAACATACGTTCCATGCGGTATTCTCCTCTTCCTTATTTTTCAAAGAAATGAGCTATAGGTATGGTGTCCACTGTTCGCGAGGTATTACAGAGTGATATATATATATATATATATATATATATATATATATATATATATATATATATATATATATATATATATATATATATATATATATATATATAGTTACAGTGAAGAGACCACTCACAGGCACGGGTCTTTCATCGTGCCCAAAGTCACTCGCTGTGCACCGCTGGCTACACGATTATTAAAATCCGCGCTAGCGTTCACGCTTCATGTTTCACAGCGACTGTCGCATGGAGAGAAATACAAACCTTTATCTGTGCTCTAATGCTGGATAGATTATTCTCTGTGAAAGAAATATTATGCGACGTTTCCTTCGCGTGAGCAGGCAATGCACGTACACCGGCAGCCAGCTTGCTGCCGATGAAGTACGAAGACTTATTTTCCTAGATATCGCTTTGATGTTGTGGCCAGTAACTGTGCGGGTAAACGCGACCACTGATGAACACCTTACTTGTACAAGCGGTGTCAGTATTCTTCATAGTTCTAACTAATTCAGCATATTGAAGAGAGTTATCCACATTGCCAATGCTCGGAGGTTTCACTTGTTTCCATCCCGTCCGTGCCGGCATGGTGGAAACTTGCTTCGCGTAGCAGTTTCCATTCATTTGATAGTGCTTCGCTCTCAATGTGGTGTATAATCGATATATTTTGTTTTCTTGGTAGCCCACCGTGCCAAGCAGTGCATTGCCGCATAAGCAAAAAGCAATCGCGGCACAGTCTCCCTGCCTGTTGGCCTCTTTGTTGCCGGGCGTTTGCGCATGACGCGCACTGTCATGCATTTGGTTCCCGTTGGATGAACCGAACCGTTAGTCCGTCAATTTAATGACTCTTGTTAGTGCACATTGCCGAATTTCAGCTTAGAGTGTATTGTCTTCAACAGAAGCTCTCATTACCAAGTTGAGTTACTGCGTAGCTGGGGTCAGCCACTGAGAATGTATATAACCTATTACTCAGAAATGCTGTTCAATTGTTTGCCTAATTAATGCCTCGGCTGCGTCAATCTGTGCCATTTGTGCAGTGGTCATTCACCACACTGTGCTCGGTGCACGTACTCCTTTGTAATTCAAACTTGCGGACATCGGTTTTTGTTGTCGCATGACGCTATGGAAGTTCTTCCATTCCCCGGCGTGCGAAGCGTGAAATTCAGCGCATGCACGAAAAAGAAAAAAACCAGTCCCTGCCTTTTTCTTTCGGAAAGTCGGCCTTTTGGACACAGAAAAGCACAAGGGGAACCAATCCGCCTTTAAAACAATCCACTTCTATGAAAAAGCGTGTTTCTACAGTTTCCATTTGTAAATTCTGCGGATTTCTTCAAAGTTTGTCCAGCGAGGGCTGAAAACTCTCCACAAGTAGTCGGCACGTTTCAAGAATTTTTATACTCAATTTCAGTAACAAAACAGTGGTTCCAGCTCGCTTTTTCGTGTTTGTGGGACTCTACTGTTAAAGTTGATCTGGCACATCAAATAGCTCAGGCCCTGCTTGTTCTTGGAGAGGGGAGACCATCAACATGTAAATACTTTGTATAAAATATTTACTCTTTTCCAACTCGTTCTCATGACTAATACGGACAAGAAAACCACCTGTATTTGTAGTGGCTACGCCACAACAGTGGTGCCTGCGGTGGGTAGTGCGACTTCCATTTCCTAACAGTCAATGACAGCCTGGTGGGATCCGCCAGCGTGCTACCCTTGTGGGGTCAGTGCCTGAAGCTTACCCCTCCTATACTGTCAGACTTAGCTAGCGCTTTTTTGTTAGTAGGCTTTATTGCTCTAACTCCGTTGGTCGGCCAAGAATTTGGGGGTTAGACAGTTTATATTCAGTAAAGGGTGAACGAGAAGGAGCAAAGTGTCTTTATAGATCTGCTCAAAGTACAGTACTTTTTTCAGCTTCGCAAGATGTTGGTCTTAAGGTTGGCTCGGCTAAGTAGAAACAACAGATTATCGTGTTTATGGACACAGCGAGTGACTGGCGAGGAGACATCGGAACCTTATGAGAAAATTAGAGCAAGAGCAGAAAAACAGCGAGAAGAGAACGCTCAGGAGTTAAATGATAAGAAGAATCGAGAAGAGTAAAAATGTGCAATGGGTTACATAGTAGCTTAGTATTATAGTCATGAGGGTAACGTATGTTCAAGAAAAAAAAAGCAAAAATTGTCAGATCTAACGTACAGTGGGACTCGATGATATGCGAAGCACGAATGAGAAACGTTTGTATTCAGAATTGGCACGACAATACGAGGTGAAGGTAAATGATGCCGTACATGACCTCCGCGTCATGATAATCATGTTTAGATGTGTCACTTACCTTCGTCATCTAATCCCGTCACGTCATACTAAGTTTAGTACATGTTGCGCTAGCGAAACGGCCACTAGCACGGTATGAGCGTGGCCTGTTGTCATGTTCTTACATGACACGCATGTCAGGATTATCATGTTTGCACCAGTGATATAATTTGTCATCCATTGCTGTCTCCTAACACCAAATTTGGTATATGCCGAGCTAGCAAAACGGCCGCGAGCACATCATGAAGGGCCCAGTATACTCCGATGTAGCTTTGACGCGTGCGCATGCTGGACACAGTGACGCTACGTTAGCAAAACGCGAGCACTCTATACCGTCACGCCAGGCGCGACCAGCGTTCATCGGCGCGGCCGGACGACAACCGGTGCGATATGCGACATTCTGCATTTCACGCCGCTGCGTTACCCAGACAACACTGCGTCTCCCTCTATTGTGACGGACGGACACCGGACGCGTAGAAACGCGCATGCGTCAAAGCAACGCAGTGTGGCGCGTGCCTGCGAGTATATGGCAGGACTGGTGCATGGCATGGCAACGCCGGCGTGACGCGATGACATGAACGCCAACGAGCACGCGCACCACGTCACGTCGAAATGTATTGGCGCCTTGAGTGTGGCATGTAGTCATGTTCTCTCATCAGACGCATCTCAAGTTTATCATGTTTTCACCAGTCGCATACCTTTGTCATTCATTGGCGTCCCGTAATACCAAATTTGGCATATGTGAAGCTAGTGAAACGGTCGCTAGCGCATCATCAACGAAGCAAGTAGTCATGTTGTTAGAAGACACGCATCTCATGATTATCATGTTTGCATATGTATCATACCTTGGTCACCTATTCTAGTCCTGTAATACCGAATTTAGTATAAGTTAAGCTAGCGAAACGGCCGCCAGCGCATCATGAGCGTGGCATGTAGTCATCTTGTGACATAATATGCAACTCATGATTATCATGTTTGCACCAGCCACATATCTTCGTAAGCTATTCGCGTACCGTAATACCAAATTTGGTATATGTGACGCTAGCGAAACGGCCACGAACGCATCAAGAGTTTGGCATGTAGTCATGTGTTACATTACACTCATGTCATGGTTTTCATGTTAGAGTCTTTCGCTTGTGTTCGCCATGCAATCATTTCATACCGTACCAGTTTTGCAACATGCTATGTGAACGAAACCGCCGCAAGAGCTTCAAAACCATGCCATGTAAATCATGACATATATGACATACATGCCTTTATTTTCATGTTGTGACTAGTCAAAAATGTTCCTCATACAGTCATGTTAAGCCAAACCAAGTTTGGTATTGACACCATTACCGAAACGGCCAGGAGAGCTAAAAGTCGTAAGCGGATAGATAGATAGATAGATAGATAGATAGATAGATAGATAGATAGATAGATAGATAGATAGATAGATAGATAGATAGATAGATAGATAGATAGATAGATAGATAGATAGATAGATAGTATGCTCAAAGTCGCCAAAGTTCGCTAAGAACTGCTGCGCAGTTAAAAAGTGAGGCAGGTCTCAAGAAGTTTAAACATGACAATATTTAGGCAAAGACAGCTGCACGTACTTGAACTGGTATGAAGCTGCATGTAGCTCGAAAGCGAGAAAATCGCTGGTCGTTAAGAATCACAGACTGGATTCGTAATGAAGGCAAGCAGTTCAAGGGGAGAAAGTTAGGTTGGCAGATAAGGCTAGGAAGTTTGTGGGTGTAAAGGCGTCGCAGAAAGCAGAGGACCGAGTTGACTGACTGAACACTAAAGATGCTATTGTTCTGCAGTGGGCGTAGTGTGGCAAATGATTATGACAGTCATGACGACGATATTTGGGCATTAGTTAGTGAATTTGCTTAAAGGGGAGCGGGGGAAAAGATAGCAGCGTTTAACGCAAATTGCGTACCTGTATGTACATTTGGTATTGTCTTATGCTATAACAATTTATTAAACTTGAGTAATAAGCTCTTACCACAGATACAACTACTGCACAGTTTTCCAAATTATTACACTAAATCAGATCAAAGGCATATTACAACCGCACGTAATATAGAATGTTGTTGCTAAGCCATCTCACTGAACAGTCTTTCGCTTTAATAACTACAGTGAGAGTAAAACAAACACTGCGGCTTTTGTACCGTACTTAAATTAGGTAAGTGGTTCTATTTCGAAGAGAAAATATGCGTGGATGAATGTTATAACTAAATATTTTTCAACAGTAGGAACATTTCGCAATGGCGTCATGACTGCTTGAGGATACGACATCTCTATTATATAGTTTTATATGATGTTAGAAAGCCCTGCCTAATGGTGTTTAATTATTCTGAGCTACCTAGTATAATGATTATCCGCTATTTTAATGAGATAAGAAAAAGCTGTGGGGATGTATCCACGCTGGCGCACATGCTCTGGGAGTGCAAGGCAATGTACACTAACCCTGACACTACATCGGTCAGGTGGGAGGCGGCCCTCCGGAGCTCCATCCTGGCCGACAAACTTCGGGCTATCCAGCAGGCCCGCGGAGCGGCCGATAGGCTTGGCCTAACGGTCCCTACGTGGGAGTCGCCCGCTGCGCGCTACTTGCAGGACAACAATAAAGTTCCGTAAACAACGAAAAAGCTTTAGAAGGCTTCCAGGACGCTTCAGCATCACCTTCAAAGGTATAGCGTGTTAGCGTGTTCGGACCCTGTTTGTATTGCTTACGTTTGCACCTTCTTCTTAGATACCTAAACCATGCTACGAGAAAATAATGTCTATGCACACCATTGACTCTTTCAGGCTATGCTAGATTGACTACAGAAAGTACCCTTGCAAGGTGCCTAATATAACAAATTTATTTATTTTATTAGTCTCCCAGATACCCTTAACGTTTCCTGAAAGTGACACAAACACCATCACAGTTTAACATGTTGCAGGGGCCGTTGTTCAAATTGGTAGCGAATTATGGATCTCTCCCTTGTAACGTATAATAGTGGGGCATCTAAAAGAACTTTTCTCACAGGGTAATCCGAATTTCTCGCTGCAAGGCATAGAGGGCACAAAATGATTGGCTACTTCATCTGGCTGCCTGGCCTTCATTACAGGATTATGGTAATGCGCCATCCCGTCTCCCTCACTTCCAGAAAAAACTCTGTCAACGCCACTGATTGATCATACTTAATACCAACTACTCCATGCACCATTCGTAAGTTTTGACGGCTGGTGTGATTCTACACTTTTGTCATGGAATACTATATGTGTTAAGAACAGCCTTACCCCTTCGTAACTATCACGTAGTGTCTATTTCGAAGCAGTTTTGCGCATACACGTGGCTCTGGTAGAATATCAAATTAACCCTCGAATTAAAAGAAAGTGTAAACTTAAGGGTCAATTTTTTTGTTAGACGCAATAATAATGAGAACTAACAGGCAATGATGCCAAGGAAAGTATAGAGGATTTTACAAGAAGCAGTTCTAATGTAATTGTGAAGAAAGATTCCTGGACGGAAAGACAACTTGCCACCAGCAGGATCCAAACAAGCGACCTTCCAAAAACACATCTGATGCTTTAGCACTGAGCTATTGTGGCGGTCATCCCTCCGCCTACTTTAATGGGTATATACCCGCGTCCGAGCACGACAGACTTAGTAAGCGCCCCCTGTTGCCATTACGGCGAGTATGGAACTGTACTTTTTGCCTGTTTTGGCGTCACGTAGTGCGTCGTATTACTATGAAGTGGCTGCAAACCAACAATTCCTTACGTATTATTTCGAAGCATCAAGTCAGACGGAACCAGATCCTGACTATGAATGAAGCAAAGTGTAAATTCCAGGGCTCGTTTTTCTTCGTTAGACACAATACTAATGGCAACTAACCGGCAATAATGCCGAAGAAAAAATGCAATGAGACTTCTGTTTTAAAAGTCACAGATTCGCATCCTGCCCATGGCAAATTGACTTGTGGTTTTGTTTCTTGACAGCCACGTTACAATTGCTTGTTATAAAAGCACGCATACATTTCGTGGGACTATTTGGTTGTTGGTTCCCATTAATAGCATCTCCAGGTGAAGATATTGTCTTAGTTTTTGTGCATTTATATTAAACATTTACCAACACGGAGTGCCTATTATTCAGTACAAACTTAGGCGTCGATACTGGGGCTGATATTTCTGCAACAAGAGTTATTTTGCTATTTCACAGCGGTAAGGAAAGCGTTTCAGCTCATTTTTTACATCTGTTTAGAACAAAGACAAAATATGATGTCCTTGATATTACAGAACCAATTTCAACGTCACAATGCAAGAGAGTCAGCTTTTTAATTAACTCTAGCGGGCCTATTACGAAATAATGATGCAGAAAATCCGAGGCAGTCGAGTGCTTTATGACACGTGACGTCATGAATCAGTGGTATTGCTCAATTTTGCTTGCCTGCTTTGGGACTATACCTCATCAAATACTTCCAGGCTCGAAGCAGAAGATTATATCGCAAGTGTTCCACACTCATTTGAAGCAAGACAAGGTATAGTTCTGTTTTCTGAACCTGCTTGCCGCTATAAGCCTTTAGTATATGCAGTGTCATAGTTCATACTTAAGATCATCATGCTGAACGATCGCCTCCGTGCATGGTGTCTTACCGCTTTGCCAGTAGTATTGAATATCATTGTGAAATTCTAGTCACAGTGGCTATGGTAATACCACAACCATAAAGCAATATGGCTTATTTAAATATATATGCTCTGATGCTAAAAGTTAAAAAGGTGAAAGAGATTCATAATAGGGAAATATTGCTTAGAAAGGAATTTCGACGTCATTTGCGATATTCGGATGTACTCTGAAGTAAAAGCTAGCGTATTGATTCCTATTTTATTCCTGTATTCTTTCCATATAAACGTCAGCATAGATGCCTTTCCACAGAATAAACACATATTCATATTCAAACATGAAATGCTCCACTACCTTCAATATTTTAACACCAAAGATGAAGAAGCACTATTTACAAGACGTTTGCAGTTCTAGCCATTCGACAAACTGTCTCTGTTTGTAGGAACACACCCAGCAAGGCATCGGGTCACCTAGAATAACAATAACTGCCCCGCCACGGTGGTCTAGTGGCTAAGGTACTCGGCTGCTGACCCGCATGTCGCGGGATCAAATCCCGGCTGTAGTGGCTGCATTTACGATGGAGGCGGAAACGTTGTAGGCCCGTGAACTCAGATTTGGGAGCACGGTAAAGAATCCCAGGTGGTCAAAATTTCCGGAGCCCTCCACTATGGCGTCTCTTATAATCAAATAGTGGTTTTGGGACGTGAAACCCCACAAATCAATCAAATCAATCAATCAATCAAGAATAAGAATAACTAGCTATTTCTTCAGTGAGTTGGTGTATACAAATTAGATTGCACGCTATTAGCAGAATGAAGTGTAGTATGTCATACCATGTAAAGCGCGAGAGCTTTAGCAACTCATTCACACTCAATTGGGATAAGCGGGCTCGTACATTGGTTAATGAACGACCTGATTTTATTGACAGAAACATGTCTTTTTCAGAACAAATTGTTCATGATCTAAAGGTAATAGAGGTGGAAGGCTAGCAGAGATTCTCCGCAATCCACTCCTGCCATCATCCTGTTAGCTTGTCAAACCAGTAAGGTGGCTTTCACAGACCCTACTTTCCATTCGTTTGCTATTCGAGAATCCGGCTGCTCGAAAAATTCTAGTAACTATAAGGTCTGTAGGCTACTCAAGTTGATGCTCTTTGCCAGTAGTTGGGGAACGAAAATTCTCATGTCGCTCAGTTTTGGAAACTCTCTCGAAAATAAATCGAAGTGTTCTTGTTAATTGTTAGCTAAGCCATGTTATTGTGAAAGTTTTTGACAGTAAAAACTAAACTGTTGAAAGGAAAAATTTTGAGGCACCCGGCAATGCATTCTCAGAATAAGATATGAGTGAATAAATTGGTATTTTCGTCAGTACAGCAAAAAAAAAAAACTAGGCGCAAAAGTGCGTTGTTAGTGTCTAATATAAAGCTTTGACAATTAAAGTGAATATGTTTGAACTCACCTAAAACCCACTTTTTAATACTCAAATGTATATTCTTAGGAACCTACCATTCATAGCGAAGTTGTTTAATCGTTTACCACAATCAGCCACAATCTTCAAATGTCTCCCACCATTTTGGTGGATATTGAAGTGGACATGTTGGAGGCATGCTGGACGACGTGTTTCTCTCTGAGCTAATCACAAGCCCTTTGTGTCTTTCTTTGTTCGCTAATTATATCAATAGATCACCACTGCACGCATGTCCAACGGCGCTAACAACTCGTTTTGCGTTGTGCAGCTGTTGCTGTGAACTGCTGCTACTATTCGATACCCGCTGATCCTTTCGTTACCACGCCTATCCAAATCGATAACCAGTGATTAACGCTTTTAAATAATCAATTTTGGCATGTAAATTTGTTTCTCATGCACCCAGCACATTCTAGAAGTTATTCCTGCCAGTTAACTTTCAGAAGCTCTTTGAAATTGCCAGTTTCGGCAACATAGTGATTTTTGATAGACCTTTGTGCAAAGTAATGTGCGTGTATTGTTGAAAAAGTGCACTAGGCTCATGAATTTGAAAGAAGTGCGTGCCCCTTCTGATTATATATATGGTACAGTACCATCAAAGTTTTGTTGTGAAACCATCTCTGCAAGCCAAATATTGAAATAAAGTGTCAGCTTCGCAATTAGTCTACGTTGAGCACTAATGATAGCCCGGAATTTATGTCATATATTCAATAGAAAGCTGTTCCTAGGAGTCAGGAAAAATTTGTTCTACAAAAATTATGTGCGAAGGTCCGCTGCGTGCCCAACTTATTGAAGTGGCTTTCTATATCAGTTTCCAGGAGCTTTCAATTGACTTGCATCCTTATATCAGACAAAGGGTCTCATCTACTGTGTCACTAGCCGCTCCTATAACGTCATCATCAGACGTGCATGGGTGCGTATCAGCGCTGAAAAACACAAGCGCTGCTCGAAACAGCCTTGCAACCCCCCCTGACTTGAGTGATGACGAGCTTAGTGTTCCAGGATGACAGCACCTGAGCTGTAAGTTTTATGGCGACGATGTTTTGCGTCAGCCTCATACTTCCACAGCCATTCATGGCTTTGTTTTGTTTACATCCTCAAGGTTTTCCCTCCACCACAAGTGCGTATAGCTTCTGACCTTTGCGAACAATTTTATAGCTATTGTGGTTACGTGCGTTGTCCACACTTCGCTGGGGCGCAGTGGGCAGAAGAAATTTTCCTAACAACAAGAAATCCCCCAGAGCACATCTTGGCCCTGACTACAAAGCAGTGCGAAACGTTTTAGAACTGCGCGTGATGTTGTACTTTTTTAATACGATATGCGCAAAAAGACAAAGAAATATGCTTGGATGTATATATTGGAACGTCAACCATTGCGGTGCAAGGTGGCTCATGGAAAGAGGTGGCGCTAGATGCATTAGCAAAATTTATTGGACATCTCATTTCTGGAAAGAATACTTCCATCACGGGTATCCATCTATCTCTATTATAACACCAGGAGACTCTTATTAAATCAGTACAAAAATCTTCTCAGAAAAAGTGTACAAGTACACTTGTGCATCACACAACAACTTGCAATGCTTCACCGCATAGCACGAGCGACGAAGCAACACCTTGGTTCTGATTTTGTTTGTCTATGTGAAGAAAAGCATTTTCGTACAACATTCATCATTTTTTGTACTGTTTCTGGTTTCCAAAATTTTTCTTTGTTTTGAATATTTTTGCATATATAGTTTTGTTTTGCAGTGTTTACCAGGTAGTGACCTAACACTCTACAGTTTTCCAATTTTATTCATTCTAAAATATTTTTATTGCTGGACAACATACATTTTTTGAAAGAGTGTTTGATTGTGCAAAGTTTGCAATTCTGCAATGAGCGCTGGAGTACTTTTCTAACTGGCGAAAACAGTATTCCGAAGACATATGAAAAACAACCCCTTTTCGCGTGGTAACAAAGGAGTAAAGGGGAATAAACTGGATGCTTATGCAAAAGTATCTTGTTGCCTCTAGAGGTGAACTGCTTTAGGGAAGATTAATTGTGCGTTTAGTAAGGCGAATAGCGATGCTCATCCTTCATCTACCCTGTGTGCTACTATGTTCAAAGTCATGTTTAAAATCATTTGTTGACATCGGCAGACTATGGCAAAGAATGGTAGAGATTTTTTCAGTATGTATGTTAAATATGCAACATAGAGTATGCTTGTATTTTTAAAAAACGGAGAGCTACGCTAATACTGTAGGCGCAAAGTTATAGAATTGTACATTTCCCACAGGAAGAATGAAGCACATATTAGCGACCATCTGTGTCATGAGCCTCGTCGCATTTGCTGGTAAGTAAGAAATGACTTATTAGCGGCAAAACCATCTGATCATTTGATATAGAAAAAAAACGGTAGTACTTGACAACTTAAATGAACTAAGGATGTTATAAACAGACACAAAGTACGCTAGATTTAGGAGTACATCATTTTATATTGTCGTATATGTTATCTATAAGGTATTATATTTCCAGAACTTTACCAACCAAAATAAGTGACACTTTTCTTTATGTTTAGGTCATCCGAAACTTGTTGAAAATATAATATTATCTTTCACGTATTCTGCCGTTCATTTTAGCTATAAAGCATTATATTTAGGAGCAGAAAACGGGCTACACATGACATAGGTTAGATTCATTTAGAACAACCTCAAGGGAAGTGCTATAAATGTTGAGTGTCTATGTAGTTCTGTGTGCTGCGAAAATAGTCAGCTGTGCTAGACGTTAATAGAAAAATTGAAAGTTACACGGTGTAATATTCACATTTACTAATTTGTTGACCTCTCAACTAGGAACACTATGAGCTAACTGAAAAATCATTTTTTGTAATACAATTTCTGCCACTTGTCAACATGTCTCTTCAAAATCTAACAGGTAGGGTATTTGGTGTCATTAATTTCTTGAAAAAGCCTATACAACAGCTGAATGTGCTACTTGTGTAATTACAGCCAATGCAGAAAGACAGCCAGAAGATGATTCCCTCCTTGACGAAACGTTCAAAGATGTGGAACGAGATGCTGCTCACATTGGTGAAATTCATCGAGAGGTGGTACAGACCCTAACCGAGAGTGAGAAACTGGAGGCTCGGGTGAGAAGAAATACCAGAGTAAAATAAAAAAAGGCACGCCACGAGCGCAGTAGGCCTTGCACAAGAAAAGCATTATGTTCAACGATGCGAAACTTGTAATAAGCAGCTCACCTCTCAATGGGTTTGCTACTATTGGTGTTGCTGAGTAAAGCTTTTCAATAAATAGTGTAAACTTACGTAGAAGGCTACGCTTTTGCAGGTGACTTGGCCTGGCGTGAACATCAGAACCAACATGTCTGGGCAATATCTTTTCAGGCAGTGGGGAGGAGGTTCTTAGTGTAAGAGGTAGAGAAAATAGTTTATTATTACACGCAGCTGGCCGGCAGTTTGCGCTTGTTTTCGCGTGGCGGCACCGAGTCGCTGGACTCGGACGTCATCCTCGGCCTGCCGCAAGGCCCAGAGCTGGGCGTTCATCTCCGACCTTTGGAGAGCTATCTCTCAGCGGCGGTGGCGCCGACAAAGAAGAAATTATTCTGACTCAAACATGGCGCTTGTGCATTTTCACTAAGTGTAGTCGCCACGTCAAATCTTGAACATATAGATATTCTGTCTGGGTCTCTTTGGCACGAGTGCTGCAAAAGCAATAAAGAAAGCAAGAAAACAGCAGAGGTGCGCAAAAGAAGTCAAACGTTAAGCACAATGCATCTTTCTCGCTATGGTCATATTATAGAGAGCAATATGTTATACTGTGAGCAGTACTTGCTGCCAGCTCCACAACGAAAGCCTTTTCTGCCCCTGAAAAGTGTCAAGACATTTAGGTAGTTTCTTTAATGAAGTTCGGATTCAAGCCATCCTTAAGTACCACCAGTCGCTCACTGCGGCGCCCTGATCGCCATTTTACCATACGCGCTGGGCTACTTTATCGCCGCAACTACCTCACTGACGGTCGCAAGTGGTTGTTGGTGATTCCTCGTCATGTACGTGCTCATATCTGCGCCTCCCACTTTGCACAACCGCAATGCGGCCACGCTGGTGTAACAAAGACGAATGCACGCCTCCTGCTCCGGTACTACTGGCGTAGAATACACCCATTTGTTCACCAATACATGTTCATTATCCAAGTGTCAATGCCGGAAGAGTCGACCGTGTACAGGCTCTGGTCCGCTCCAGCCGTTGCTCTGTCCCTCGTGGCCTTTTATCGCATTGGAATTTACTTGTATAGCCCCCTTCCGTGTACACATGACGGGAATCGCTGGGTGATTGTCACGATTGATCATTTGACACAATATGATGAGACTGCCACTCTGCCAGAGGCTACATCACATGAAGTCGGCTTATTTACACTTCAAAACCTTTTTTTTTGCTACGGGTCTTCTCGCGAGAAACATAGCGACCGTAGACGCACGTTACTTTCAAAAGCCGTACAAGCCCCCTGCGCGACTACAACGTTGTTCATCAAACGACTAGTGGGTACCATCTCCAAACCAACCGCATGACTGATCGCTTTATCCGCACCATAGGCGACATGCTGTCCATGTATGTCTCTGTTGACCACACCAGCTGGCATCGCATACTACCATTTGCTACGTATGCTTACAACAGCGCCACTCAGTCTACGACCGCATTTTCTTCTTTCTTGCCTCTCTATAGCTGTGATCCCTCATTTATGGATACCATTCTGTTGTATCACCCGGACACATCAGAGTAGGCAACTCCACCTGAAGTTGCCACCTATGCGGAAGAATGCCGGCAGGTAGCACGTTCGTTAACCACACAAAACCAAGCACACCAACAGGACTGCCGCGGTGCCAACCTGCATTCCAAGTCATATTCGGCTTGACACTGGCGTGGCTTCGCGTTACCTCCAAAGCTCCTGGCCTTTCTTCAAAGCTGCTACTTAAGTATGAAAGCCTCTACCACGTACTGCGTCAAGCATTCTTGGTAAATTATCTTCTCGAGCCCGGGCACTGATGCACAGACGGCCACCGTTGTGACCGTGAGACTATTCACGTTGACCAATGAGTGAAGCTTCACTGGGATCCACCAGTTTTACCTGTTCCTTAGACCGCCAAATGGCAAATATATATATATATATATATATATATATATATATATATATATATATATATATATATAAAGGGTTGAAAAGGGTTTATTGGCGACTGTTGCGATGGTAGTCCTACGATGAAACACGATCGGGCAAGAGCAACGGTCAAGCAGATGCCGGCGATGATCAGCACAAGCCGAGCGAGAGAGCCGAGCGAGCCGAGCGCATGTCGTCAGAGGGGGGAAAGTGGCTGAATGAGAAAATTCACCGGCGAGGTTTGCTCCAAAACACGGTATGGGCCCTCGTACTTTGGAACGAGTTTTGAGGAAATGCCGGGGGTTTGGTAAGGAACAGCCAGCCATACAAGTGATCCGGGGAATAGCTGGGGCTTTGTGAAGAGTCGGCGTTGTTTTCTTTCTGGCGCTGTTCTTGTGACGTAAAGGTGCGTGCGAGTTCACGGCACTCTTCCGCATTTCGGGCAGCTTCGGACACAGATGGGCATTAGGATGCGTCAGGACGGTATGGAAGGAGAGTGTCGATGGTGTGGGATAGTTCGCGTCCATAAAGAAGAAAGAAAGGTGAAAATCCAGTGGTAGACTGTGCCGCGGTGTTATATGCGAACGTGATGAATGGAAGAATGCGATCCCAGTTAGTATGATCGGATGTCACATACATGGCGAGCATATCGCCAAAGGTGGGGTTAAATCTTTCCGTGAGCCCGTTAGTCTGCGGGTGGTATGCCGTGGTCTTGCGATGAACAACATGGCATTCAGAAAGCAGAGACGTGACGACTTCTGATAGGAAGGCTCGATCTCGGTCGCTTAGTAGTTCTCGAGGTGCACCATGTCTTAGTATGACGCGATGAAGGATGAAGGATGCTACGTCCCGCGCAGTGGCACTTGGAAGAGCGGCTGTCTCAGCGTAGCGTGTTAAATGGTCCACAGCGACTATGATCCACCGATTTTCATCTGATGTTGTCGGTAGAGGGCCATAAAGACCAATTCCGATCCGATCGAAAGGTTTGGCAGGGCACGGAAGCGGTTGAAGCACACCGGACGAGTGGAAAGGAGGTGATTTGCGGCGTTGACAGTCAGGGCAGCCCATAACGAATTTCCGAATGAAATTACACATTCCGCGCCAGTAGAATTGATGGAGAATGCGTTCGTAAGTTTTGAAAACTCCGGCATGACCACATTGGGGATCGTGGTGAAAGGAGGCGCAGATTTGTGATCGCAAGCTGTGCGGGACAACAAAGAGCCACTTATGACCTTCTGGGGCGTAGTTGCGTCGGTGTAGCAGCCGATCACGAGTGGCGAAATGAGCAGCTTGACGTCGGAGAGATCGTGGTACCGCAGTGGTTGACGATCCAGAGAGACAGTTAAAAAGGGAAGCGATCCACGGGTCCTTGTGTTGTTCACTGGTAAAGGAGTCGAGGTCGAGAGATGCGACGGAGTTGGTACCAGTGGTTCCACAGGCCGAGTTGGGAGGTAAAGGCGAACGCGACAGGGCGCCGGCGTCGGAGTGTTTGCGTCCGCTGCGATAGATGACACGAATGTCGTACTCCTGGATTTGCAGTGCCCACCGAGCTAGGCGGCCAGAAGGATCTTTCAATGTGGCGAGCCAACAAAGTGCATGGTGGTCCGTTACCAGGTCGAATAGGCGACCGTACAAATAAGGGCGGAACTTGCAAAGCACCCACACTAGCGCCAAGCACTCTTTTTCAGTGACGCTGTAATTGGCCTCAGCTTTAGTAAGTGTGCGACTCGCATAAGTGACGACGTATTCGGAGTAGCCCGGCTTGCGTTTGGCCCGGCTTGTATCCGGCATACATTTGTCTGAAATAAAGGCAACAACAACAACAACAACCACTCCAGTTTAGGTTGTGGGGCACATACTCGAGAAAATAAAGAAGAGTCTTGAGAGTACTGAACGCCATCTTACAAGTGGTGGAGAGTGCTGCCCTATTTCTGCATCCTCTCGCGCTCTCGGACAACCCCAGCGTCTTCTAGAAGACATCCCTGGAGCTCCGTTCAGGCCGCCGCTTGAACGACCTAGGTTCGGTAATGTCGCAAGCCGACCAGCCAAGCGCAGCAGCTGCGCCACCACTCCCACCACCAAGAAACCCTTCTCACCTGGTCACCAGCCCACAAAAGGATCATCCGCTGTTCGCAGGCTTCCGGGTGAGGACGTAGAAGACTGGCTCGAGGAGTATGACCGCGTGAGTGCCATCAACAACTGGGATGAGCCTGCGAAACTCACCCACGTTGCATTCTACTTGAGCGGCGTCGCAAAAACGTGGTTTTTAAACCACGCTACAGATTTTTTGACAAGGCGCGCCTTTACCTGCCAGCTCCACCAGATTTTCGCCAACCCGTCGGCGCACTCGGATATTGCCAGGAAAAGGCTTGGTGCACGTGTTCAACGCCCCGGCGAGTCTTTCACTTCTTACATTGAAGATGTTCTCGCCCTTTGCCGCCGCATCGACAACCATATGGCGGAAAACGACCGTGTGCGCCAACTGCTAAAAGGCATTGCGACTGTCGCTTTTGATGCGCTTGTGGTGCAGAATCCCCAGACCGTAGCCGATGTTGTAGCTGCCTGTAAGCACCTCGAGGAGCCTCAATCCACTCGGGTGCAACCTGATATGCCTGATCTCAGCTCAAGTCATGACACAACAGAGCTGCGTGCATTGATCCGCTCTATCATCCGCGAGGAAATTCATGCATAGGCTGCTCCTCGCCACCTTGATATTCGAACGACGCCACCTGCTACAAGTTTACGCGACGTCGTCAAGGAGGAACTGGCCTTGGTCACAGGCACACCAGTTCCGAGCTCACATCCCGTGGAAATGCCAAGTTATGCTCACGTTGCAGCAACGACGCCTGTGCCCCACCAAAGCCTGGCCTCGGTGACTGTCATACCTGTTCCGAGATCATATCCTATGACCATGCCAACTTATGCTCAGGTTGCTAGGACACCTGCACCCCAGCAAAGCCCAATGCAGCTACCTGCG